GTCCTAGTTTGAGCACTTTCTTCAAAAGAAACCCATTTTGGTGTCAATAGAAAAGTTGTAGAGAATCAAAAATTAGGCTTATTGGTGGATAAGAAATTCCAGTCAAACTTTTTCCGAGAACTTTCTTTCGAACCTAATAATATTGAAATATGAAGCACATTCTATGGTGAATTTTCTGTCTTGTTTTCACCATTCACCAAGTCTTGTTGCGTTGGTCTTGTTGGTCTTGTTGCGAACCAATCAAAAATGAAAACATCTTGGTAACATCAACTTGCAAAAATATGACTTTTATATGCCCGTAAAATCCGTGTTTCCCCATATTTCTTTGATATTAATGGCAGCATTACTAGAGTTAGTCTATGTCAAAATTTGAGAGAATTCTTTGGTAAAAGAAGCAAGAAAATCATGGTTTAAAATGAAGTTAAACTTGAGTAGCTGAACCAAAGCGCGGAATCAGATACGGTGCGATTACAGATCTCCAGAAGGGACACATTTTTTCTGATCGAAAAGCCATAAAACTTCTCAAAATCTCTTTATTTATTGCAATTTAATCAGGCAAGAATGTAATTTTTGTTATTTTCCAAAACTTGAGCTTATCAATCACGCAAAAGTCTGATTCTTTTTTCGTAAAAAATGCTTTGGACTTGTTGCGAACCAATCAAAAAAATGAGAACATCTTGGTATCAAAGTTTGTTGATCAAATCATTCATCAAATTCATCATAGAATCTGATCCACATTTCGTTACTAAATATAAAAAATGTCTCTAGTATCTAGTGTCAAAAAAAATGAGAAAGAGTCTATAGTGAATTGAAGGAATCAGGTGATTTTTACCATTGTCGACGACATTTCATATGATCTAACCCAATATGATATTTCATTGTCCAGTAGTGTAGGTGATGATTTCATCGAAGAGGTTGGGAGGGGCGCTCTCCTCCTTCTTCCCCACCGCTCACTTCATTATCCAACCATTCAATTCCTCATTCATTCTTTTCTCATCTTGGTATCAAAGTTTATTGATCAAATCATTAATCGAATTTTCATCATAGAATCTGATCCACATTTCGTTACTAAATATAGAAAATGTCTCTAGTATCTAGTGTCAAAAAAAATGGGAAAGAATCTATAGTGAATTGAAGGAATCAGGTTATTTTTACTATCGTCGACGACATTTCATATGATCCAACCCAATAAAATCCTTAATATTACAAAGAAGCAAGAAACTCATGGTTTAAAATGAAGTTAAACTTGAGTAGCTGAACCAAAACGGGGAATCAGATAGCGTGCGATTACCGATCCCCAAAAAGAATAAATTTTGACGACTTCCGTATCATTTCCTGATTGAGTACAACTTTTTGACCACAGTACTTACATCGTTTTTCCATTTTCTTTTCAAATATAACCTTGATTCACTCATCCATGCAAAGATCTTCCCAAAAAAAAAACCTTTACAATAACAAAATATTCTACTTTTTATGAGAGAATCTAAAATTTTATATATTTTTCATATTTTTTTAATCATTTTCATGACTAATAGGATTATTTCTCAAGATTTTAAAGAGAAACAATAGAATGAAGAGAATTAAATCCTTGATTCCAAAATCTTTCCAGAACTACAACAGGTAAAAACTAAACTAATCTAACAAATTTTAAACTTAAACTTCTCCAAAATATCCCCTTTGAACTTTAGCTTGTTATTTTCAGCTCAACAATACTCACAATTAGTCATAAAGATAATGTATCTACAATTTTTGATCCACAAATTCAAATGGAAACTTTTTTAAGCTTCAATAACACCAATTTCAATGTCTAATGAGGAGATTTTTTGGAAAATTTATGTTTCTCTTGATTCGTTTAATGTTTTCATTTAATGTTTACCCTTTTCCTTTTTCTTGTTGAGACATCAACGTGAGAAAAGAATGAATGAGGAATTGAATGGTTGGATAATGAAGTGAGCGGTGGGGAAGAAGGAGGAGAGCGCTCCTCCCAACCTCTTCGATGAAATCATCACCTACACTACTGGACAATGAAATATCATATTCGAAAAAACACTTTCGCACTTTCGCGCGTCTGTAACTCCCTTGTCGTTACCGTATTTCTAAATATTAATATTACCATTGTGTAGCCCTCAAAAAGAGCTTTCAGAAAATGTATAACACTAATCGTTTAAACTCAAAGACAAGGGAGTTACAGACGCGCGAAAGTGCGAAAGTGTTTTTTCAAATATGATATTTCATTGTCCAGTACTGTACCTCATATTGTAACTCGCGGGTAACTTGGCAAGGTTCCCTAGTTAGTATTTGAGAACACCAATGGATTGCATGATTGATGTGATAAAGAATGATGAAAGGCTTAGAATTTTGGTGTCTAACTATGAAAGTTATAAATTTACAAGAACTTACAAGAACTTGCAACCTCAAGTAAAGATTTGTGGCAATTTTATCTTTGATTTTTTTTCCTATACATGAACAAAACTCTATTCCTTAGTTAGCTTTTAGAAAACAGTATTCTTAGATTTCTATCGCGCGAAAGTGACCATCGTTTTTCAAATATGATCTTTCATTGTCCAGTACTGTACCTCTTCTTCTCTCTTTCCATCATCACCAATAAATTACTTTGTTCTCATTCCCTGGTGTTTGTAAATAACTTCACCAATTCTAGTTCTTATTCAAAAGCTTTTCCTCAAAGTAAACTCATTCTCAGCTAGATTTTGCAGGATTTAAGCTTTACCTTTGCCTAAGCCTTTGCAAATCTAGTAAACTGAAAGTTCAATTCTTTCTTGAAGACTTTCAAACTTCAAACTTTTCAAAAGAATCAACTGATCTTGTTCTTTCATTTATTTAATATATAATAACAAAGAATTGAATATCTAAATATTCCAGAGAAATAGAAAACAACTTTTTCTTGTTTCAAAAAGAAAAAAACTCAATAATTCTCTATTCCTGTTCAGACTAGGCATGATCTCACTAGAGCAATTACATATTTCTTTCATAATATGTGAATAACCAAGATGTATGAGACATAGAGGAATAAAGGGGGGAAAGGGAAGGGGAGGATCCTTCCCTTTTGTGGCCCAACGCTTCTCCCCGAATCTCCCGAATGAAATCATCGTCTCCGCTCAGTTTTTCCTTTCTATCTATGCTCAATAAACATCTATAAAAGCTTTCTTTTCACTTTTTCAGTTTCTTTTATTAAACTAACATTTCGATTTGATTTTATAGCTATAAAAGCGAGCCGGAAATAGCAAATTTCATTTTATAGCCTGCTTTTACAACTTCTATACTTAGTTTAAGAAATTTGGAGGTAAACAACGAGCTGATTCGCTGATTTTGGCCGTTTTTTTGAAACTTGAAAAGCACAGAATGATGTCAAAAACCCAGAAAATCATCGAAAATTCATTTTCCCAAAAAATTGTAGCCAAAGAAAGTGGAAATTTTGAAACAAATTACGATTACTCATTTGTATCTGAACATTTTCATTCAAACGATCTTTAGATTTCAACTTTAGATTTCAACTTTTTACCACATCATTTCATCATTCAAATGATGAATTCTGTGAATTCTATTTAAAATTTTACATCCATGAAACCCTAGATTTCTATACTTCTATACTTTTTTTACGTTTTTTTTCCGTCTCTAGTTTACTTCCACCTTTTCACTTTTTTTTTTTTTGCGAAATCCTGATATTTTAATTCGTGAAAGAAATTCTAAGAAATTCGTGTACTTTTAACAAGTTTTTCATTGGTTTTAATGAGAATGTAATGGGTAATTGAGAATGAGATTGAGGCTGAAGAAAATGAGACACGTGCAGAAAAATGAGTGAGTTTCCTCAAAATCTCGTAAGTAATCAAAAGGGGCGAGGTCCGGACTGTATGGGGAATGCGCCAAAAGTTCCCAAACAAGGCTATTTATTGTAAGAAATGTAAGAAAAGATAGATAGATTATAGACAAATATTATATTATTATTGACGACTTCTGCCCATTTTACAGACAATTTGCGGATTCCTCTTTCGTAGTAGGATTTTGGTTTGTGTGTGAGACAAATGTGAGACTCAAAAATGGTGGACTGGAGATGTCCCAGTTTGAGCACTTTCTTCAAAAGAAACCCATTTTGGTGGCAATGGAAAAGTTGTAGAGAATCAAAAATTAGGCTTATATCCAAATTTCCAAAAAGATACACTTAGTAGTTTCGCTTAAAATGCAAGTTTTGTGAAAATTCGTGAATTTGGCATTTCTTGAAAACCAGTTTTTGAATCGTTCTGAAAATTTGGATATAAGCTTGATTTTTGATTCTTTACAACTTTTCCATTGACACCAAAATGGGTTTCTTTTGAAAGTGCTCAAGCTGTCACATATGACAATAGCCCGCAGTTTTCAATTCACCAAACCCAATAGATTGACATTAGCCTTGATTTGTGGAGAAGTCAATGTCCAATTTGAGGATTCGGAGCCGGCTAGATTTGTTCGGAAGGGAAGGGGGTTATGTAAAAGCCCTGCGCCAGACGACGAGCGATTACGCGGCCGCACAAAGAATACACAGAACGCACAAAATTTAAGCGGAACTACTAAGTGCATCTTTTTGAAAATTTGGATATAAGCCTAATTTTTGATTCTCTACAACTTTTCCATTTACACCAAAATGGGTTTCTTTTGAAGAAAGTGCTTAAACTGTCACATATGACAATAGCCCGCAGTTTTCAAATTCACCAACCCAATATTTATTAGTTTTCAAAAATAAGTACTTTTGTTTTATTTCTTTCAAGATTTCTTTCATTTTTATTTCAAATTTCAATCTCATTATTCAAAAAAAAAACGAAATTTAGCGATTGAAAGTCAAATTTTTGAAGAAGAATAATATTATGAAGTTGAGAAAAGCTTTGATTTCAAATTGAACTATTATTTTTTAGAATTTGATGCTATATTCTTTCATTAACTCTTTTAAAATCAACCATTTACAGATTAACATGAAACAATGAAAAACCAATCGAAAAGACGATGAAAAGATGATGAATTCTTCATCTCCATCATCTCCATCATCAATGGGTGATGAGGGTGCAGCTGCATTGAGATTAGCGCTTACTCTCACCCATCTCATTCTCGTTTTAATCGGAACTTTCAATCTACTCGTCATTTTCCTTGTCATCGTTAGACCGTGAGTTCGAAATTTCTAGATCTGCTCGAAATTGAGAACGTTCCTTTCCGGCTTTATTATTGGCTGAAACTGGTTTCTGCCAATCATAAAGTCGGAAAGGAACGTTCTCAATTTCGAGCACCAGTTTCAGCCAATCATAAAGCTTTAAGTGTGTCAGAAAAGTACGTTTACGAGCTCAAAGTATACCTTAAGCCATACCTTGAAAAGGAAAACTTAATTCATATTCCCACTATTGAGACAAAGATTGTTATTTGGTTTTTTCTGATTTTTCAGATCTCTGAAAGTTGTGGATGAGTTGAGAATGTTTATCCCAAATCCCTTTATGTCTATCCGATGTCTATCCTTCCGCTCCTTAACCAATTCATTAACGCATTTCCCTTTACTTTTTCAAAGATTGAGGGTCTCTTCATCCATTTCTTTTCAAGAAAAGATTTGATCAGAAAACTCGTTTATTTGGATGAGAGAATCCCTTTTCTCTTTTCCTGAGATCTTTGTGACTCAAATACTGACGTCTTTTCTCTTTTGGGAATCAATTATTCTACTCTTTTTCGTGAAATAATAGCATTAATCTATGAAAAGAATAAGGAAAGAATTTGGGAAGTAAAAGAGTTTTAAGTACGAAAGCACCTAGAGAAATTGGTGATCTTTGGGATATCTTTGAGAAGAAAAGAAGCAAACTGTGAAAAAATGAAAAGGCTTAATTAAACAAACAGAACCAATCAGACAATCAGCTGATTTTAGTACTGGAACAGGTAGCAAACATTGATATTACTAAACATTGATATTACTCATTGATTCTGATTCAGCAGTACTCCAGTAGCCTGCCCAAATTTGATTCAGAACAGCCAAAACCCAGTGAAAGGCTAAGATCTGAGTTTTACTGCACTTGGCAAAGTAAAATCCGATTTTCTAGATACATGAGATCAATCACAAATGTCTACATGGTCTCTCTTTGTCTCGCCGATTTCATCTACCTTGTCAATTTAAGTTTTGTTGCAGCAACGCAGCTGAAGTAAGCAAAACTTTTGTTATTGTTTTTGATTTGCCTTAAGGGACTATTATCAAGAACTATTATCAAGAACTGTAATCAGTTTTAGTAACTAATTTAATCGCTAATTTAATCGCTAATTGACTTCTTGAATAAATAATTCAATTTCTTTTTCAGTAACAAGAGTTGGCCATTTGGCAATGCGATTTGCACGCTTTTTCACGGCTCCGAGGCCACCGGTTTGTTTTTTTGAATTTTGAGGACTGAGAAATGAATGGTGTTTTGATTATTGTAACTCGATTATAGATCTTGATACTGGAATTGAATTGGGGCCAAATATTTGAATGAATTCTTTCTTTAGCATCAATCATTTAAGCCATTCAAGCTACAGTAATCCCAACTAAATTAAAGATATTGAAAATTGTCTAAAATCTTTTGTCTTTTTCTTAAAGAAACTTGTAAAATGTAAAATCTACAGCCTAAAAGGAAAATATTTTAAGACTGAATTCCAAGAAGCTTAAAGAATTTGGTAGAAGTTCTACTTGGCTTGATTTGCCTTGAAGCTCATCTGACATCTGACATCCGACAGCTGACAGCTGACATCTAACAGCTGAGATCTGACAGCTGACATCTGACATCTGACATCTGACAATAGACTAACTTGATAGAAGAAAGTCCTATCAACTTTCTAAACATTCAAACTGGATCTTAAAAGCTGTCACAGTATTCTCGAGTTTTAGTCTTAACAAAGAAGGGTATTGCGACTCTAAACTCTAAAGAAACATCGAGATTTTGAGGAAACTCACTCATTTTTCTGCACATATCTCATTTTCTTCAGCCTCAATCTCATTCTCAATCACCCATCCCATCTCTTTTCCCCTTCTGTTTTCCTTCATCACCTCATCGTCTTGTTTTGCTGGTATTTCATTTCAATCCAGAATGAATCTCTCTGCACATTCAAATAACAATGTGAATTCAAAAATAGATATAAATTATTTAGTAGCGTTTACGAGAGGAAAAAGGAAAGATAACAAAAGGTGAAAAATGGGAGAATTTCGATTTATGCAAAACGGATGAGAAGAAGAAGAAAGAAAGAAAAAAAGAAGAAGAAGAAAAGAAAAAGAAAAGAAGAAAAGAAGAAGAAGAAGAAAGAAAGAAAGAAAGAAGAAGAAAAGAAAGAAGAAGAAAAGAAGAAGAAGAAGAAGAAGAAAAGAAAGAAAGAAGAAAAAGAAAGAAAGAAGAAGAAGAAGAAGAAAAGAAGAAGAAGAAAAGAAAAAAGAAAGATCTTTTGTGCAATCTTTTTGAAAGAAGAAGAAGAGAAGAAAACTAAACCTAAAATTTCTCTGCAAAGAAAAAGCTGTACCGTAAAAGTGTTCCATCTTATCTTTATATCCAAAACTCTTAGCTGTCCTCAGATCTTTTGTGCAATCTTTAAGCTAAACTTAAATTTCCTGTTTTTTTCATATTATATTACCTAATTCCCACTATTCTACAGAAAATTTGTAAAAGTTTTTTAAAATCTCCTTCCAGAACTTATAAATTATTCAAATCCATGACACAATTGTTGTCTTTTTTTTTCTCTTTTTCTAAACCAGTGGACCTTGGGAAAATCTTTAGTTTTTCTAGAAGTTTTCTCTTTTCTTTGGGGAAAAAGAAGAGCAATCAAATTTGTTTCTATTTGATGTTGCTTTCAGATTGACAGAATGGAAAAAGGGAAGCCTTTTTGAAATATAAGGGATTAAACAAAAAAGAATCTAGATTTTCAAATATTTAACCAATCAAAAGCCATCTTTTTCACCTTTTGAAGAGATCAGATTTTTGAAGCAAGGCATTCAAGAATACAAAAATCTAAAGTTTCCCAAAAGTGACTACAATTCTTAGACTTCTTATTATTATGATACTTTCTGCTTCAATTGTTAATTTGTTTCTATTAGGTTGTTCGGATATAAACGAGCGTTTTAGTGATAACAATAACGAGCGCAAGATAACGTACTTTTAAATACAGAAAGATATGTTTTAAAAGCTTCTCTCACAACAAAATGTTTAGCAACGCTTGTTTATATCCGAACAACCTAATATTTGATGTTGCCTTTAGAGTGACAGAATGGAAAAAGGAAAGGAAAGCTTTTTGAAATATAAGGGATTAAACAAAAAAGAATCTAGATTTTCAAATATTTAACCAATCAAAAGCCATCTTTTTGACCTTTTGAAGAGATCAGATTTCTAAAGCAAGGCATTTAGGAATACAAAATTCTAAAGTTTCCCAAAAGTGACTACAATTCTTAGACTTCTTATTGTTATGATACTTTCTGCTTCAATTGTTTAAGTCAAATCTATTCATTTATTTCTCAAAGATCACGAAGATCTTTGAATTCATTGAAGTGGATTTTTTGGATTCTTTAAGAGTTTTCCCAAAGAATTCTTTTCTTTCCCGTCTTTTCATTGAATAAAACGGAACTTTGCATTCGAGATTCAATTATTGAGATTGAGTGAAGAAAATAAACGTCTAGAGAGTTAGAAATTGATTGAGAAGGAATACTTTGAAAAATGATCAATAAAACTAAAGTTCAAATAGGTTACTATACCAAAAACATATCCAATATCCATTATTGAGATTGAGTGAAGAAAATAAACGAGAGTTAGAGTCTAGAGAGTTAGAAATTGATTGAGAAGGAATACTTTGAAAAATGATCAACAAAACTAGAGTTCAAATACGTTACTGTACCAAAAACATATCCAACTAAGTTATCGTATTCAGGGAAATATGCGTCTGTCCTTTTCGTGGTACTTTAACGTCCAGAGAGTTAGAAATTGTTTGAGAAGGAATACTTTGAAAAATTATCAACAAAACAAGAGTTCAAATAGGTTACTGTACCAAAAACATATCCAACTAAGTTATCGTATTTAGGTAAATATGCATCTGTCCTTTTCGTGGTACTTCTCGCCGCTGATCGCTACTGTGCCATGTGTCGGCCATCTTTGTGCTCAAAGTAAGTTTTTTTCTTTTCTTTTTTCTGATCTCCTGACGAAAGCAAGTTTATTACATGTTAAGATATAAATTTTTAAACAAAATTAACTCTTTTAGATACCGCAACTATCGAACAGCAATCGTGCTCTCGTTGGCTGCTTGGTTAGCCGCTTTGGCGATCTCACTTCCATTGTACATTGTTTCCGAAGAGGTTTGTTTGAAGATAAGCTTTTGGTTTGAAGATAAGATGATTTTACGTTGATTTTTTTAAGTTATGTACCGTATTTCTTCGAATAGAAGACCGGGTAAAGAGTATGATCGCGTACTCGTGCGTAGCAGCCCTTTTTAAAATTTCTTTTCTGCATAAAAGCTTTCAATGAAGTGCTATAGAGCTGGAAAATGGCTCAAAAATACGACATGAGCTAACAGCTTTTTGAGCCTTTTTTCAGCTCTATAGCACTTCATTGAAAGCTTTCATGCAGAAAAGAAATTTTAAAAGGGCTGCTACGCAGGAGTACGCGATCATACTCTTTACCCGCGATCATACTCTTTGATTGCTTCTTCTTCTATTCGAAGAAATACGGTAAACATATTCCAGTTCACTTCCTCATGATTACAAATTCATGAGTAATCATGAGGAAATTTGGCCTCTTTTTGGCCAATCTGGCCTCTGGCCTCTGGCCAACTCTTTCCTTGGTCAATAACCTTTATCTTCAATATATTATTTCAGAAAAATAGATTCTTTATCAAATTCTCAAGATTCTATTAGTGTCTTCAAAATTTATTACTCTTTTATTGGTTCCAGCTATTCCAGCTAATAAAAAGAGGCTCTTCACTCTTCTTTCGCAAATATCTTTTTCAAAATGGACTTAAATAAGTAAAAATCGGGTAAAAGTTTAAAAGAAATATGCTAAATTTGAAAAGTCATTAATTTTTTTTGAAGAAAATGGTTGTTTTCTTCATCAATTTCCGGGAAGAGACTGTTTTACAGCCTTTCAGCAACTGAAATTCATTAAACTAATGTAAAAATAGCTAGATTTAGAGCTAGATTTGGCTAAAGTAGTTAATATTAGTTAATAAGTTTAAAAATTCATTTTAGATCCCGATTCGTTTACATGAGAACCCTTTTCAACCACCGTCACACGTTCTCTGTATAGCCAAATGGTCAGGCCATGGGCTGGCAAGGATGTCAGTTTTTTTTATTTTTGAAATAAAAAAGACTTTAAGCTTTAAGACAATCGTCAAATTACAGCTTAACTTATACAAATCGAGTTCAACAAATAACTTTGAACAGTCTGAGGTTGAGGTTGAAATTTCTAAATCTATTAGTGAGCTATTATTGAGCTAAGCTAAGCAGTCAAGGTTTGTTTAATCAATAGCTATTAAAAATAAGTCAAAAATTGAATTCTTTAATCTATTAGTGATGTATTGGGTTGGTGAATTGAAAACTGCTGGACTTTGAACTAAAATTTATTCAACATAAAACCATAAATTCATTCGAAATAATTTCCATTATTATTGACGACTTCTGCCCATTTTACAGACAATTTGCGGATTCCTCTTTCGTAGTAGAATTTTGGTTTTGTATCGAAAAAATTTCAAAGCCAATTTTTGACTGCTTCTTCCGAATCGAAGCGTTCTCCCGCAAGCTCATTACTCATGATCCGGAATTCTCCCATTTTTCAAAAAAAAAAGAATCCTCGAAATTCTCCCATTTTTCACCTTTTGTTATCTTTCCTTTTTCCTCTCGTAAACGCTACTAAATAATTTCTATCTATTTTTCAATTCACATTGTAATTTGAATGTGGAGAGAGATTTATTCTGGATTGAAATGAAGGACCGGCAAAACAAGACGATGAGGTGATGAAGGAAAACAGAAGGGGAAAAGAGATGGGATGGGTGATTGAGAATGAGATTGAGGCTGAAGAAAATGAGATACGTGCAGAAAAATGAGTGAGTTTCTTCAAAATCTCGTAAGTAATCAAAAGGGGCGAGCTCCGGACTGTATGGGGAATGCGCCAAAAGTTCCCAAACAAGGCTATTTATTGTAAGAAATGTAAGAAAAGATAGATAGATTATAGACAAATATTATATTATCATTGACGACTTGTGCTCATTTTACAGGCAATTTGCGGATTCCTCTTTCTGCTTAGGATTTTGGCTTGTGTGTGAGACAAGTGTGAGACTCAAAAATGGAGGACTGGAGATGTCCTAGTTTGAGCACTTTCTTCAAAAGAAACCCATTTTGGTGTCAATAGAAAAGTTGTAGAGAATCAAAAATTAGGCTTATAGCCAAATTTCCAAAAAGATACACTTAGTAGTTTCGCTTAAAATGCAAATTTTGTGAAAATTCGTGAATTTTGCATTTCTTGAAAACCAGTTTTTGAATCGTTCTGAAAATTTGGATATAAGCTTGATTTTTGATTCTCTACAACTTTTCCATTGACACCAAAATGGGTTTCTTTTGAAGAAAGTGCTCAAACTGTCACATATGACAATAGCCCGCAGTTTTCAATTCACCAACCCAATAGTTCTATTTTTAAAATTTGTTTTAAAACGAGATTTTCAGGTATATCAGCTTATCATCAGTTTTTATCTTTGTCATTCCACTCGTTCTCATCATTTACTGCTATTTTCATATTTTGAATAAATTGCGAGAAGCAGTCAAGGTTTGTTTAATCAATAGATATTAAAAATGAGTCAAAAAATTGAATTCTTTGATCTCTTCCTCTAACAATAGAGTTAAATGAGAAGATTTTCAGAGAATAAAGAGAAAAGGAATCAAAAATGAAACAAAAATGAATCAAAATTGAATTCGATTCAAGAGATTTGCATAAAGAAAAAGCTCATTTTTTTGCTTTCTCTGCTTTGAACAAAAGATTTTAATGTTTTACTGGGATTTAAGGACTAAATAGGAACTATAAAGGAACTAAATAGGAACTATAAAGGAACTATAAAGGAACTATAAAGGAACTAAATAGGAACTATAAAGGAACCATGTAGGAACCAAATAGGAACTAAATAGGAACTATACAGTAACCAAAAAGGAACTATAAAGGAACTATGTAGGAACTATGTAGGAACCAAATAGGAACAAATAGGAAAAACTTATCGAAAAACTACAGATCAAAAGTTGATTTAGAATCTTTTCAAGTGAATATATTCAATTTTAGGGTTCAAAACGTTTACGACGAGCTTCCTCGACGAGAGCTCCCTACCATCGAGTGACACGCTTGGTGCTTTGGGTGGTCATATTCCATGTGATTTGTTGGTAAGCTTTAGAACAATTTTCCCTACAAATTCTACATTCGGTTAAGCCGTTTTACAGTAGCTAAAGAGGACAATTCGATTGTCTCTCTATCTACTTTCTGTTTCCGAGATAGAGCCATGATTTCTTGCCATGAAAAGAGCCATGAAAAGAGCCATGAAATGGAAAGAGCCATTTCTTTCCATGAAAAGAGCCATTTCTTTCCATGAAAAGAGCCATTTCTTTCCATGAAAAGAGCCATTTCTTTCCATGAAATCCAAATCAAATTCCAAATCCAGGTCTCCCTATTGGATCTTCAACTTATTATCCTCAATCTTCCGTGTTCGAATCAGCTCACAATTAGAGAGAATCGTCATCAATATTATTCATCTTTTCCCATATATCAATTGTGCTCTCAATCCACTTCTTTATGCGGTGAGAGTTTGCTTTCAAAAGACTTAGAACTTTTGGAAAGATTTATATGAGAATTCATTCCAGAATCAAGAATTCAGGCTAAAAAACACAAAACTAACGTGGCTTTTCATAAAATTAGGTTAAAACAAAGGAAATGAGTTTATAAGCTTATCAAATTAACTATTAGCTTATCAAATCAGTTTATGAGGTTAACAAATCACTGCTCTTTCATTAATCAATCTTTTCTAGAAATTGATAAATGTCAATAATATCGTAAGTGGATTAAAGTTTGAATACTCACAAAGACTGCTAGCTGCTAACTAGAATCACTCACTTTCTTTAAGTTTTTTTAAAATAACTTATTTAATCTAAATGTTTATTAAATGCTTTTGTATTTGATTTGAAGAAATAAATAGATAAAATTCGTTTTTCAGGTCACTGCTGACAACTTTCGAATCGCTTTTCGATCGGTGTTCTGTTGTAAAGCTGAGGCAACGGAAACAGAAAACGGGAAACCGTATATAGCAACAAGATCCACATATCATCGAACTGGGTAAAGAAAATGGATAGAATACAATCAATGAAACACTTAACAAGTACCAACAGTGTACCAAGTACAAGTACCAACAGTGTACCAAGTACAAGTGCCAACAGTGTACCAAGTACAAGTGCCAACAGTGTACCAAGTACAAGTGCCAACAGTGTACCAAGTACAAGTACCAACAGTGCAATCCGATGTTCCATAGAAACAGCATAACATGAATATTAACATCATTTATGACAGCTTCATAGCAATGAAGCAATAGCAATTAAAATGATGGCCATCCTTGTATTCAATTTAAAATCAAATAATAGTTAAAAGCTTGAAATAACTGAAATTCTTGCTGTTTTACTTTTTCAATGCAATTGTTTCAGAACCACAATCAACGGATCCCCAGTACTCGGCGAGCGTTCTGTTTTCCAGCTCGAGAAGAAAGATTCTGTGAATAAGGTTTAAATTCAAATCTACTTTTATTCTAAATCCGAATTCTAGGAGGAAACAACATTGGAGAAGATCATTCCACCGATTCTTGACCAAATCGGTGTCAGACTCGAGCCACATCGAAGTGTCAGCACTGGAAGGTTCGTGTAATACTTGATACAATAGTAATAAATTTGTTATTTATCTAAATTTAAGATTATCGATTATCGACTCTTTCAGATTATCGATTCGCCGGAGTTTCTGTAATGGAGATGAAGCATGGCGACAATGCTCACAAGATGAGATCAGGAAAATGTCAAGGTAAACAAATGAAAGTCCAGTAAGCTATTCTTCCAGTTACAAATCTATTTTTAAAGTTAAAACCCAGCTTCCACATCATTCAAGAGGCAATCTAAAAAAAGGAAAGTAAAGGGAAAGTAAAAACCTAAAGACTCCTGTTAATCCTGTTAATCTAGACTGAATACCGTAATCGAGCTAATCTAGACTGAATACCCATTCTAGACTAAGTACCGTAATGCAGCTAATCTAGACTGAATACCCATTCTAGACGAAGTACCGTAATGCAGCTAATCTAGACTGAATACCCATTCTAGACGAAGTACCGTAATGCAGCTAATCTAGACTGAATACCCATTCTAGACCAAATACCGGAATCCAGCCAATCTAGACTGATTACCCAATAACACGAAAACTTGACCTCTGTCATTGTGGTCCAAATGGCTAACTTGTTAAGTCCAAATGGCTAACTTCCTGGTCGGTTTAACCCCGCCAAGTTCTTTTTCTTTAAGACTAGTTGTTCTTTTTTACTCATATCTATGGGGTTTTCTCTAAATTTAGGAATTAGCGGTGCTTGTGAATTGTTTGTATCACATTATTCGGGTAAAAAAATATTTTTTATGCGAGTGGTTGAAGGTAATGAACTTCTAGAAGGAGTGTCCGTTCCTTCTCCAAATCCTCAAGTGGTCGAATCGCTGAAGGTCTAGAAGCCACAAAAAGCGATCAGTTCAAGCGATCAGACGGTAGTTGGCGTAGAGCTTGCCCCTCATCTCTCAGTCAACAAATGACACCAAAACGATCTCTCTCACCCGGTATGAGATTACCCTTATTAACAGTGAATGATCATCATTTAAATGGTGCTATATAAAAAGATAAATACGGTATTTTTCATGTGTCATATTGATTTGTTTTTTATTTGTTTTTTTATTTAATTTGAATTCTTATTACAAGCTTTTCTAGGCGGGTCTTATTTTTAAAAAAACTTTTTTTTTAAATTTCAATTTGATGAGTTCTAGTAAAGTGAATCGGGTCATGCACAAAACATATTTCATTTTTCATTTGTTTTGTATATTTGTGAATTGAATAAAGATTTTGAAAGAGAATAAGCTATTGCTATAAAAGCTATAAAAGCTATAAGCTATTGTTATAAAAGCTATAAGCTATTGCTATAAAAGAATGAGTTGGTCTAGGAGCGTCCAACCATCAAGTATTTAGTATCATTCAACGCAGAATCATTAATAATTATGTTAAATTTTTGAAATTAGAAAGATTGGATAAAAAGAAAAAAAATTATGGGGCTTCAAAGTTTCCTCTTGAACAAACAGTTTTTTTGCTCTAATTTTTTTTCTTTTTATTCAATCTTTCTAATTAAAAAAATTTAACATAATTATTAATGATTCTGCGTTGAATGATACTAAATACTTGATGGTTCGACGCTCCTAGACCCACTCATTCATAATCGGCTACGGGGATCCCGCCGATTTTGAATGAAACGTTGTAGCGCCGGCAATTTTTAACCTAAACTCACAAATTTGGTACCAATCGACGCAGAATTGAATTCGCTACAAGATGATATAATATTGTCCTCATACATTAAAGGGTTGCTCTACTAGATTTGCCAAAAAATTTCATTCATAATCGGCTACGACATATAAAAGCTATAAAAGCTATAAGCTATAGCTATAAAAGCTATAATCTACTGCTATAATAATAATAATACTTTATTCAAACGATAAAGTGAAAGAAATCATAGAGAAATGCACAGTGATACTTAATCATACAATACATACTGAAATCAATAAGCCAATTACTTACGGCAAAGAGCCACTAGATCTAAAGCATCGATACGTTTCTTGAATATGAAAAGCGACTGAATTTCTCGTATGTCGTTTGGGAGCAAGTTCCATAATCTAGCGGCTCTAACGGGAAATGAATTTGATAAAGAGGCATTGGAAGCAAAGGGAATTTGCAAAAGGAATGAGCCACTTCTGGGCCCTGACCGCGGTTTAAATTTGAAAAAGTCTATAAACAAAGGGCTAATCTGTTTACAACGGAGGATTTTGAAAGTTTCGACTAAATCAATGACAAAGCGACGATGCTGTAAAGTTTTTAGTTCAAAAAAAGCAAGTCTCTCCTCATAAGTAAAGCTAGAATATTTAGAAGAGTCAATTTTCCATAAAGCGACTTTTGTGAACCTATATAATATAAAGCCCATAAAACCCATAAAACCCATAATGAGCTATTGAATTTTCTCTATTTTTAAAGAACAAATATTAGGTTGTCCGGAAATAAATGAGCGTTTTTAACTTGAATATTTGAAATACCATAACTTGATCCAAACAAAACTTTATTAATCGAAATAAGAACCATTACAATTAACACATTTTTGCCAACGAGAAACAAGTTTATTTATGCCGGTAGCATAGAAGCCCGAGCTTCTGGAGGCGATAAAGTCGGCGAAGGCGTTTTTGGCATCGTCTTGAGTTTTGAAGCATTTCTCCCGGAGAAAGTTGTCGAGGTGCTTGAAAAAGTGGTAGTCGGTAGGCGAAAGGTCCGGCGAATATGGCGGGTGAGTTCGTAGCTCAGTTCGTTCAGCTTTTGCAGGGTCGGTAGTGCGACGTGCGGGCGAGCGTTGTCGTGGAGAAGAATTGGACCTTTTCTGCTGACCAATGCCGGGCACATTCGCTGACCAATGCCGGGCACAATTTCTCGTGCATTTCGTCGATTTGTTGGCAGTACTTCTTCGCCGTAATCGTTTCGCCCGGATTCAGAAAGCTGTGATGGATGAGACCGACTGCGGACCACCATAACCTTCTTTTGGTGCAAATTTGGCTTTGGAAAGTGTTGTGGAGCCTCTCCGGCGTCCAACCACTGAGCGGAACGTCACCGGTTGTCGTAGAGGATCCACTTTCATAGCACGTTACGATCCGGTCGAGAAATGAGTCGTTTTTGTTGCGCTGAAGAAGAACAGACGACACCTCAAAACGACGATTTTTTTGATTTTCGTTCAATTCGTGCGGCACCCATTTATCGAGCTTTTTGACTTTCCAATCCGTTTCAAGTGGTCAGAAATCGTCGTCTTGCCCACGCCAAGCTCATCCGCAAGCTTTCGAATAGTCGTACGTGGATTTGCTTCCACCAGGGTCTTCATTTGGTCATCATCGAGTTCAACAGGACGGCCACGGTTCATCTTTATCTTCGAGATCAAAATCACCACCTCGGAATTTTCGCAACCAAGTTCGCATTGTTGGCCCGCCGACACTGCCTTGGCCCCAAACTTCGTTAATGTTATAAGCCGTTTCAGCTGCATTGCGACCGAGCTTGAACTCATAAAAGAAAATCTGGCGAAAGTTGGTTTCGGACATCTAAAACGGCGAAGCTTCAGAATGGCAAAAAATTTTATTTTCAACAAAATTTAAAAGTATGGTTAAAGAGAGCACGAACTCAGCTTTCTAATGGTATATAACATTACAAGGTACAGAGCATACTTTATTGAGAAAAATGTACGCAAATAATAAACAATACAAGACGCTCATTTATTTCCGGACAACCTAATACTTCAAGTAATCGTCTTGATTTCTTGTTTTCAAGGTTATTATTCAAAAATGTAAACGTTTTATGCAAATTTCAAGTCAAAATGCGAGCGAAACTAGTAAAAATAGTACTTTTGAATGAAAAAGAAAAATCAGCTTTCTTTTGGTGCTATCATTCTCTAATTGTTTTTGCTGAATTCCAAGAAACAAAACCATGATTTCTACGAATTTCTCTATCTTGCAAAGTTTACCTGTTCTTAAATCATTTAAAAAACTACTTTTGCAGTTATTTTACATTCAAAAACTTTTTCTTTAAGAACTTTTTGATTGAATCGCGTTCAATTTCAAAACAAAACAAACTTAAACGTTTTCCTTTATCAATAAGAAACAGTTGTCCCTTTCTTTTCTTAATTCATTCAATCACTAATCAAAAATTTCATTGCGTAATGAAAATCAATGCTTTTTTCTGGATTTTTCCAACTAGTCAAACCAAAAGTATCTTAATCGATCGAAGGCCTGCTGAATTATGGAGTAAGCGTCCAACATTAACAAAAAAAATAGATTTGCTTGTCTTCGGATTATATCGTGAACTTACAGTACTTGCGCCAAAAGCAAAAGCCCATTTAATATGTGCTTTGACAAGAACACCCCCGCCAAACGAACATTTGCCACAATTCTCGCATTCTTCACCCAAAATCACTATTTATCCATTTAGAAAAGTTTGGCGTATCAAACCAAACATAGCGCACAAATTAGGAAATTAGGAAAAAAAGGAAAATATAATAACTGCATAATTTAATAATAATAATTACAGTAATAATCAAATGGTAATAGAAAAATAACTTGAGCAAAATTTAAACATCAACAAGCAAAAGTAACACAAATTCCGAATAAAGTAAACAAACGAAAACCCGCAGATTGCAGCAAAAGATCACACAGAAATTCTAAAAAAACAACAGATAAACTCTTATGCCTTTAATAGATCTCCATCGTATGAGTCGTGCATCTGATCGATAATGTATTGTTCAAGTGAAACGTGAGCAAGGGAGTTTGGTGGCTTCCATTGGTAGGTGAGCAACAATTTGTATAAGGCACCTAAACAAGATTTAAATCAATTATAACTACCAGTTGCCTAATTAACAGAAAATTTATAAATGTTCTAAACTAGTTTATCATCGAACAGCCTTACAATTGAAGAAATCACTCACCAACAGTCATGTTGAATTTCTTGAACATGACGATGTATGCGTCTAACGTGTCGACCAATCGACTGTCATCCATCACGACGAAGACGAGATCCCGATTACACTCAGCCGCCGCCATCCATTGAATCAGAGCTGAATCATTGAATTGGTCAACACATGGTGTGCGTTACGGTTCAAAAATAACCTGTACATCTTTATCCGAGCCTTAACAAAAAGCAAGTTTACCTTTTAAAAATGGATCGCCTCCAAACGCTCCGCATCCCCATTTTCCAGTTGCCAACGGACGTCCTCTCTTTGTGTTGTCCTCGTTGTAAAAGCCGGTAAATGCCTAAATGAAAAGTTATTAGTAACTATACAAGCCCTTACCTTGTTTAACTCTCGATCAATCCCCTTTCCGCTGTATTGATAAGATTGATGTTTGCTATAGAGATCCAACGCATCGATCGCCAGAATTTCCGTATTGCATCGATTAAATCTAATGTAGGCTCAGCGTTTTAATGAATCACGCACTAAAAAACTCACTTATCCACATCTCGGTACACTCTTCTATCTTTATTTTGCAAGGGCACAAATTCAAGGGTTTGCGAATAACCTTTGTAACTTAAAGGAATGAATTAGTAAACGAGGGACAAAAAAATAATACCCGCTAATAGTCGGAGCTCCAATAATGTGAATCGATTCTTGATCATTCATCCTCGGGGAAAACAACAAGGCGACGAGCGCATCCGGACAACAGAGTAGTCGAATTTCTTCCTGAAAGTACAAATGCTATGATGCTAAAAGTTTAGATTAAATGATATTTAAATGTTTACCTGAACAGCTCCTTCTGTTAACACCCCACCACCGATGTACTTATTGGCAAAATCCAAATGAGTTGCATTGTAATAATCCTCGATCGGCGTCGTTTTTGTCAAGACCATATTACTATTCCACAACTAAAAAAGAAACGTAAGTACTTTTATTGACAAGAATTTTATTTCAATATCAAACAAAACTTGATACCAATGTATCTGATTGGGTCCAGTTCACAAAATCAGCTTCTCGGAGTCTTCGACGATAAAAAGTAATACAATGGTCTCGATCGCCGTTATTCTCCGTTTCACATCGAAGACACTGAACAAAAAATGCAAAGGTTTTATTCCATAAACACACCTCTTTAAAGTAATTAAAGATGAAATGCAGCTTTTGCTGCGCTAGAGGCGAAGTACTAGCGAAAATGCTAAACTGAATAATGTTAGGACAATTCATTAACCTTACGCAAAAAAGTCGAAACGCGGACACTCCTCCCTTTTCAGTGGACGAAAGAAACCAAGGAAGGCCATCGCAAGGAGTGTTGTGCATTGTTTGAGGGTAAACGTCATAGATTGAATATCCGCGTAGAGCAGCGGTAACTCCTAAAGAGCAAACCTTTTTACTTTCTAATATTGCCCATAGTTTAATGGAATTCATTTAAAGCATGCAATATTACAATACCGCTTTATTAAATGAATCCGCTCAACCAGAAACAACCTTTGGAAGCATATCCTCCATTTCACTGACAAGACGACATATGTACTGGAATGTCTTGCTGTATCGCCATCCGCACTTTTCCCAAAACCTAAAGTTATTGATTTTTAATGTGAAAAATGTTTCCTTACTTTTCTAAGCCACGCAGTTGCATTTCATTGCCATGAAAGGTTGTGAACAGGAACTAAAACAAAGGTGTCACTGAATTTCAAAATTCGCAAGATACTCACTCTTATCTCAGAAAATTCTTTTTCAGTATCATCTTGGGATAACTTGCTTTCGAAGAAAAACTCGTAAAAACGGCGCAACGACCTAAATCTTAATAAATTGATACGTGAACACTGAACCCACAAATTCTTCCGGTAATCAGAAATTGGCCATTTTTCATCATTATGAGGCAGCACAATGCTCCTTCGTCCAATCTAAAAATATTTAAGTGCGTAAAACATTGTTGACAAACCGATTCATGTTCCAAAATGGGCTCCGGTTTTTTACCAGGGAAACACGCCAGGTAATCCCGCCCAGTTTCCAGTCCAATGACTGACCAAGAGGCTAAAAAAATAAGTAAAATATTTAATAAATGAGCTTAAAATAAAATTAATTTTGCTTACCTTTAAACTCTTTCAACACTTTTTCCAAGTTCGAAATGCGGTGGACGTTTTGCGCATTTAGAAGTTCGGTTCCTTTCCATGGCGCCCATTCATCTGGATTGACTAAAACAAGCTATTAGCTTTTAATTTTAATTAAGAAATTTGTTAAGTCAATTAAACTTACGGCAAGTGAGAATCAAGCGGCCGTCTTTCCATTTCGACTTTGCATCATCAGTTGGTTCTTTAATTTTGGCTCGATCGTCTTCATCTTGAAACAAATTCTTCGAAACTAGAGATGAATTCGCAACGTCACTAAATCTGACATTTGAAAAGCTATAGTAGGATTAATAACTGGGGTGGACATTGATTCTATCCGGTTATAACAATTTATGAGTAGGGCAGAAAGTCCACTCTTCTGACGTATACATTGAAGATTCATGCGCTATAACTGGATAGAACTATGGCGTCTTCTACAACAACAAAAGAATGGCTCTAAAACCTACGAATTAAACTTCTTTGGCGTTTCAACAAGATCATCAAATAAGTCGTTCAGTTCTGAACTTTGCGAAGACTCTTGTTTGACCAACGATTCATTCTTGTCACATTCCATGTCTACACTGAAATTTTATGATGTGCGAATGTTTAAACATAGAAGCTATACTAATGAAACTAATGAACTCTTAAACTTGCAAGGACAGATAAGTGAGATGATCGCTGACTTAAGATTTTGAAACACCGGTTTTTTATGTTAGTTGTTGACTACAAACTACACTTTCGGATTGAATTTTATCAGATTCCGACAATTCAATTGGATTGGATAACAAACAACTGCCGAGTCAATTATTTGCACACTCGATTCATTTCATCAAGCACCTTCAACTATCCCTGCCAAGTGTAGGCCTTACCCTAGATTTTCAAATGTTCAGCTTCGAATAGTGCCGCAGCGAACCTTATCTACCTCAAACTATTACAGTTAAGGCTTTGGGTTGCCAAGGAAATGTTTTGATGTTACAAAGTTCTCGTTGCCACAAGATAGTTGCACGTCAAACAATACCTTGCAGGAAGTATTTCTGGCTCTTCTGGAACATTTCTGGAAGTGTCCATTCTTCGTGTCGGCGTCAAATCAACTTCGTTTTCCTTGTTAATTGACAGTCTAAATCAATGCTTAAATAAATTAAATCAATAAAAATACCACCAACTCTGCGACTGACCGTTGAAATGTTTTTGGAGTCTTATCGTCGATCGTTTTGGTTGTTTTTGGAGTACAATTCATTGGTGCGTGTAAATCCGACATCGAAACATCATCGTCTTCGATGGTTATTCTAAAAGTCATAAAATTAAATTCTTTAATTGGTGTATTCGAGTATCTGATCTTTGCATGAGACTCAAAACTTCAAATTGTCATTTGAATTGAAAAGGCCTTAAAATTCTTTGCTAAAACCAACTCTTCCGGATCGGCACTTCTGGCACTCAGATTGCACTTTGCTGCCGATAAGACGTTATCGGATTCTTCATTAATTTCCATATTTTCATCATTATGCTCGTCTTCTTTGTGAATTGGTGGGCGAACTAGAAACATCAATGGGTAAGCATATGTTGAAAGCCTACCTCGTTTCGTGACAATATCGCAACTTTCACCAAACTCGGCATTCATCTATAACCAAAAAATTCAGTCAAGTTTTTTTAGTTCACCTTATGCGATAAAGCTCGTTGACTCTGCTGTTGAAACTCTTCAAGATTTTTGCGAGCCTCCTGTTCATTTTTTGTCTTTTGCACTTTCGCTTGTGGTGGACGCTCACGAGTGATGTAACTAAAATAAGCAATAACTGAAATTTCATTAACTATTAACTCATACCGTAACTACTGTAATTGAACGCCTGGGCGTTCTATTAGAGGAGGCGTTCTATTGGAGGGGGGCTTTCTATTTCTTACTCAGAAAAGTTGCTCAGCTAAGAGAGAAAGTCGAAAATAAAAGCAAAAAGCTCAATTTTCTCGTTCGAGCGCCTTTTATAAGCTATAAAAATTCTAATCGCGATAAAACCTTATCGAGATCTCGATAGTCTTTTTACAAGCTACAAGCTTTTTACTGAATACACTGATTTTTTTAAACGGACAAAGTATTGCAAAAATTGTGTTTTGATTCATTGTGTTGCCATTTTCTTGAAAACCCAAAATCTGTTGTCTATACAGCTTTAAAGTAGACATCGAGACAAACATTTTGATATATAACAGCTATGAGATAAAGTAAAAATTGAAGTGCATGCACAAAACGTGTCAGATATCAGATTTAAGGCAATTAATGCAAGTAAAATTTACCCTTCAATTGATTGTCGTCTCCTCTTCTCGATCACTTTTCCAAGAGCCTCTGCTTCGTCTTTGTTCGTTTGATGAGCTTCATTTGTTTCTTCAGCCACCGGCACTTTCTTGTCGTTTAGCTCAATTGCGGGCTTTGTTTTTTCTAAATAATAAAGTCACTATTAATACTAACAATTTTTGTCCTTACTATCACACACAACAATTACACAAGTTCGAATTCGTATCTTAAATTTTAAATCACCCAACCTTTCTTCTCCTTTTTCGCGTTTTTAGGTCGTTCAGCTTTCTTGTCAACTTTCGCGTCGTTTCTGTGACACGACCCCTCAAATTCGTAAACATCATTGTTTGAAATTGTCGCTGTCGCGGGTGTGACATCGATGGGACAATTTTTTTGCTAAATTTGAAATGAAAATGACAAAAAACGATAATACCTTGAAGTTTGGAATCTTTTCAACGACGGATCCATCCTTGAACTTTCGAGGGAGCAGATTGTTGGAAGAGTTCTAAATACAATATATTATTGTCAATTTCTAACAAGATTTGTACTTTGAAATCATCTCACAATAGATTCATAACGATAAGATCAGAGTCGCTGCTTAAAGTAAGAGCTTGGAGTTTAAAAGTTATCGTACTACTTGTCGGTTTGCTTTACATTCAATTAAAAAACATTAGTCATTAGTCAAACATTAGTCAAACAAGAGCTATATCAAAGCTATTAAGCAACAATTTGAAGAAGTTTACCTTCGTCGTCAAAATCGGATTCGCTCCCCGATTCGCTTTCTTCTTCATTTCAGTCTCCCCAATCACGTCCAGCGTTAGCCCGAGCTCCGGATTATCATCCATCCCTGAAAGAGAAAGATGTACTGAAGCTTATATGAAAAGAAAAGCCAAGGAGAGAAAACAATACAGTTAAAATCCAAAACGAACGGTAAGCGAAACAAGCGAACTTTACAGCAACTCTACGTTCTACAAACAGTAGGGTTTCACTAATTCTCAAGAAACTTTTTAACAATTCTAAATTTCGTGAATCCCCGCGTAAGCAATTTGAAATTCCCCTCAAAGAGAGTGTACGCTGGACTCCAATTAACATCGCGTAAGACAGACGTAATTGAATATCTATCTTTTCGTGTATGGATCTGGGGAGTGGGACAAATGCGACCTTTTTTTTGCGCACCCGGCCATTTGCGCAACTTTTTTTCCGCACCTGGCCCATTAGCGCACCTTTTTTCGCGTTTTAAAAAAGCCTAAAAGTAATATTAACCAATTTCTATTCCAAAAGTTGTTTTTCTAGGTAATTTGAGGGTGTAGAATCGAAATTTTGACATATCAGAGCTTGTGGAAGCGAACGGACGGAGTTATACAAAGAGAAAAATCGACCATTTTCTGTAATTTGACCTACCCGTTTTGTCTTTCAAATTGATTCCACACGCTCTGTTATGTCAAAATTTCGATTCTACACCCTCAAATTACCTAGAAAAACAACTTTTGGAATAGAAATTGGTTAATATTAGCTTTTTAGGCTTTTTAAAGGGTGCGCTATGGGCGGTGGGAAGGTGATTTGTCCTCCTGGATCTGTATATTAATAACTAATGCAGTTGCAACGCCATTTTATACAGATTGACAAAAATAGTTTTAAATAATTGTACATTGTTGCAAAATTTCGTCGAATCAAGTTGATTCCGAAGCTCTCGCGGCATTTCAGACCAAAATTGGCATCAGCTGCAAGTCAAATCGAGTTGAAACTTTTGGAGACTCTGCTCAACTTTAAAACTCATGGATCAGTGAATGGCAAGATCTTTCTTTGCCATACCAGTGGCTAAAAGGGTCCAAACTTTTTGAATCCCGATATTCAATTGAATTGCTATGAAATATGCATTGGTTGAGATTATACTTTTGACAGAGAAACGTGTGGAGATCTTTTTCTCCATCAAAATCACAATTCCTGGATTAGTTGAGAATTTCGTACACAAGTCCAGTGAAAAATGAAGTTTTTGGGGATTGTCTAGTTGAGATGAAAGGAATAGGGGACCCTCCTAGAACTGAAAAAGCCACTTCTGACAATTAGACAAAATAGCCAACAGATCGTTGGCTACGGATACGAGAACAGACTCAAAATAACTACCACCTGGTTTATTTGTTTTTCAATTTCATACATGAATCATTCAGTCACTAAGCCTAAGACCAACTGCCCCAGCCTAGACAATGTTAGCACAGGAAAAAGGGCGAGTAACATTACCTTCTTCATTAAAAATCCGTATTTTTTCATCTTGGAATATATTTTGTTTGTCTTTACAAAGCTGCGAGCATTGATCCAACGACCAATCATCGATGCGAGCATATTTTAGGCCCCAAGGATGCCTTCGAAGTGATGCTTTTTTAGGTTGGAGGTAAAAGTTTTAACAAAATGTGAAAGACGATTGCAAGAAGTCGCGAGTTTAAACCAATTTTAAACCAACCAAAAAAAAGTTAACGCGTCCTATCAAAGTGCGAGCTAATGAAATAAAGCAAGAGATACATAAAATAGTTTTTATTTTAATTTTTTAGATGATGCGTCTCGAGACACTCTTTTTAAAAAGTCTGTCTACTGTCATCATCTTTCTAATAAGCTTTTTACGGCTCTGAAGCTTCACTTTAGCAATACGCAAATAGCCAACAAACGTTACCTCCCCAGCTTTACCCCTCCAACAAGTTAATACCATTGAAATACAAATCCCAATTCTCTTATGAACGGCTTATGAAAGGAAAAAGGTTCATGATTTTTGTACGTTGTCGAAATAAAAAGATTAAGGTGTAGAGATGTACTTAGGCCAGTGGTAAGAAGATGAGTGCATCAAGAACTTTGTTGAGTAGTCAAGCTCACACGTTATCTTATAAAAAGCTCTATTCTTTAGTATAGTATATCTAGTCTTATCTGACTTATAGTCTCCAGGTTAAGAAAACTCTGCTTGCAGTGATTAAGAGCTACAAACTTGTTAGCATCGATCCCAAGATGATCACTTCAAGCGCTTCATTGTATTTTCCGAATCTGAGTCGCTCAAACATTTTACTTTACCAGAATAAATAACCTTTTAGAAATCGTTGAAGTAAAATCTTTTTGAGAAGACAAATAAATAATTTTTTTGAACTTTTTAATCCGTCGCCTGGTTAAAACTCAACGCTCAACGCTGAAGGCTACAAATCAGTTCTCCAGAATCATCTTCTGCCACTTTCAATTGCAAAAATGGGCCCTGGATGGCTGCTTTATCAGGATAATGCGTGTTGCCACAAGAGTCAATTGCTAATGGGCCGGGTCGTCACTCTCGCAAATGGTGGAAAAGCTCGTCTTCCAGGATGGTTCAAAGCAAATCGTGTTCAACTTATCTCAGCTCCTCCATACAGCCCAGATTTGAGCATCTTTGGGCTTTTTTGAAGTCAAAGCTAGAGGGAAAGCGATTGAACTCGAAGATAGGGATTTGGTTCTTCATTCGCCGTACCGGGTCTTCCCTGGGAGCCCAAATTCTACGCGATTTAGTTGATTCAATGCCAAAGCGGATCCAGGAAGTCAACAAAGCTAAAGGTGGACCAACGAAGTATTAAAAATTTGATAATTTCTATGTTTTTTTTTCAAATGTGACAAGACTTTTGAGCATCAAAAATACGCCCGTTTTTTGTTTTTCTTAATTTTTGTTAATCGTTTCAATAAAGTTTTTCTTGCACTTTTTCATTTATCAGCACTTTTTCAATTAAAACAAGAACGAAATGCAAAGATCATCAGCTGTTTCAGAAAAAAATGATTATGAACATCTTTTTTCCTTGTCTATGCAGTCTTCAAAATCAATTTTTGCATTTTTTAAAACCCTTGAGACGTTTCGACAAAAATTGAAATTTTGATATGTCCACCTCCCGATTTCTTCGTTTTTCAGAAAAAAAGAAAACGTGAAAAATAAAGCGTTGATCATAAAAGAAATGATCAGTTTAAAGTTTAAATATAAATTTCTTTTTTCTTTTATCTTTTAGATCTAAATCTAAGTGAAAAATATCGTTTTTGTATTTTCCCAAACCTTTGAGCTCAATCGTTGTTCGTCGTAACCATGGAAACTCCAAGCTTTTTTCCTTCAAATAAAACATTAACAAAACAAATAACTATTTCTTAAAATTTAAATGATTTTTTAAATATAATCTATCAATATTATTCTTTTTAAATGTCTCACAAATTGGGCGATCCTATTAGTGACGATTCAGCTGATGAGAATTCACAGATTCGCGGATTGGAAGAGGATAAGGTAACAAGGAAAACGGGATTTGTTCTCTAATAAAATTATAACAAAAGATCATTATCTAAATCACTTTACAATCTTAACATCAGTTATCTAATCACAAAAAACGATTACTTTGTTTAAACCTGAACAAAATAATCGTTCTTTAATAAGAACTTGCTTGTGACTTGTTTAAAGTTTATTTGCAAGCACTAATATTATCTAAATCACTTTACAATCTTAACATCAGTTATCTAATCACAAAGAGCTATTACTTTGTTCAAACCTGAACAAAATAATCATTCTTTAATAAGAACTTGCTTGTGACTTGTTTAAAGTTTATTTGCAAGCACTAATTTCTTTCTTTCTTCTTGTAAGGCTATTTTTAAAACCTAATACCTTCAACATCAGTTATCTTTAATTTAAAAATTAAAATATTAATTGCATTTTATTTCTCCAGGGAATTTACCACAATCCTGAGGTTTTCGCATCTCCGAGAGATGAAGAAGATGACATACTGAGAAGCTCGAATGAAGGTCAGAAATAAAACCCCTTACAACAGTTACAATACTCGAATGAAGGTCAGAAATAAAACCTCTTACAACAGTTAAAATACTTTAAATGTTATAAGAGAGTCAAAGATTTACTTTCCCACTAAAATTCTTTTTAGTGGGATTTCCACTTTCCCACTTTCCCAAAATTCTTTTTTCAACCGGAAATTAGAGATCTCTCCAATCTACTGAACCTATAATTTTCTTTTAAATAATAATCCTAAATGTCGATTTTATTTATAGGGAAAGACGACGGAAATCTTGGAAAAACATTAGAAGATCGGGTTGGTTTTTTTTTTATTTTCTGAAAAATAACTTTTAGATGCAGGATGAAGAGAGTGAAGGAAATCAAGAAGGAAGAGGGGAATTTCAATCCAATAGGTAAATTCATAACGATTTGAGAAGCTGAATTAATATGACAATTTTTAGAAGACTTTTATGAGTACCTAACTGTAAATTCGTTTCAGAAGAGTTCAGTCATCCAGCCGAATACCCAGCTGGCCCACCACCAGCCTACGAGGAAACCTCATTGCAACAAAAAGCACCACCAACAGCGGCTAGTACAGGTTCTGGTTGATAACAAAGCCCAGATCGTAAGAAGACGTTAAAATCTGTACTTACAATACAATCTTTTTAACAAAAAAGATAAAAATAGTTTAGAAGTTGGTTGTAAAAGTTATGCAATAAAATCTACAAGATGGTGCACAATTACCCGCACTCAGCTCAGATTCTCCAGCTTAGCGAGTCAATCAGTTGACCTACCGTAAATACTGTAATAGTACCCCACCCCCATAATGACGGTGCGGAGTGTTGCGTAGTCGAGCTTTTAATTTTAATCGCTTTGTGCATTTTCAATGTCTCGCTGAATTCTATAATGTGCCCCTAAAAGTTTTTGTCGGGATTACGGGTAACGGGCAGTTTATAAAGGAGAAACTTTGCAAAAAACTTCATTTTCGTTGATTGTTAGCTGGCAGTTTGTCAAGTATATTGTAGTCAGTGTTACCGTAAATACTGTAATAGTTCCCGACCCCCATAATGACGGTGCGGAGTGTTGCGTAGTCGAGCTTTGAACGCGTTTTTCTCGACACTGGTTTATGCTATAATGCTCACTTAGGTATCAAAAAATAGCTGAAATTCAGGGCTATTTTTTGATACCAAAGACGCATTTTTTGAAAGTACGGGTGCTTTGAAAAAAATGAAATACTAAAAAACTTTTGCGACTACGCGACTGTACGGGGGGGGGGAGGTGAGGCACTATTACAGTATTTACGGTAATTCTTTTTTTATTATCAAATTGAATATTTCTCTTGCAATGTGTTTTCTGGATTTGATCAGAAAAGTTTCGAAACTTTTGCTAGAGCGCTGTTGCGCGTTTCCTGCGGCGAAATTGCGATTTTCTGGTTTTTGTGACTAGTTTCAAACCTGAAAATCAAAGAAAACCAGCTTTATTTACTCCTTTTTACTTATTATTACCTATTACTTTTTACTTATTGCTTATTTATATTTCGAAAATCTAGCTCATTTTTACTAGAAAACAATGAATTTCGATTAGGGATCAGTTGAAAATATGAATTAGAACTAAGTGCGGGTAATTGTGCGCCACACATCGGCGCGAAATAAGGCAAAAATGCGTTTTCTATCGGATTTTTCTGGGAGTACCTTTTTTAGATGCGGAAAATTGTGCTGATTCCGAATCTGAAGGAATTTTCCAAATCCCTCTGACAGAAATTTGGTGCGCCACCCTTTACAACAAATATCTAAGCTTTTCCTCTAATAGAAAGTAACTTATAATCGATTTTCTTTTCTTTTCCAGAATCAAATCGAATCAAGACTCCAACTTCTCTCACCGGAATGCTTCTTGGAAACATTGCTCGTCCATTTGAGGTCACTTTTAGTTTCTAAGATTTAAAAGTTAAGTCATAAATCTGTCATTTATTTCAATTTATGTGCTTATCAACTTGTTTTAATCTTAGTGTTAAAGTAGAAAACGTTTTTCCGGTTCTCTAGTGCTTGCTGTAAATTGATTTTGATCTTTCGCCAAATGCAGTCCTTTGAATCTTGTATTAATCGCTAATCTCGTTAATTTTTCGAATTCCTCTTGGTTTTTGACTGAAAATATCGACTTGAGAAGCACCTGTCCCAGTCCAAAGAGGCCTCTCTCTGCCAACACTCACCAAATTTAGCCCATAATTATTTCCCATTCCCCTTTTCTCTCTCAAACCACGAAAATTCAATATTACTAAACAGTCAATATTACTAAACTTTTTTATTTTTCAGAAGATGGCAATGGGGAGCAAAGGAGGAAATCATTCCGATGAAGAAGACGATGATGATGAATACGATGATATGGATATTCCTGTTAATGTGAAAAGTTAGTTTTATAAATATGAAAATAGTAACCAGATACTCTATTGAAAGAAGTGTAGTGTTAAATTGTCAACAATTTGAGCAATCAATAAACTTAAAGGGTGAGGAATACCTTGTGCTTAAAGGAGGTAGAAGGCTGTGCTTAAAGTTCTTAAAGGCTTAAATTAGATCTCAATAAAACCAAATTCTCAGCAGTTAGATGCAATAATCCAATTTCTTGATAAAGTTTCCTGTAAAAAGAATTCAAGTGAATCGATTTCTCAATAATTTATCAGGTATTAAAAGATGAAATCAGCTTTCCAGGTCAATTTCAAACTTAAGTAGCTCAGCTTACAGTTATTATCTTATGTTTAACAGTTTAACAACGATTAAACTCAATTTCTATTGGGTTGGTGAATTGAAAACTGCGGGCTATTGTCATATGTGACAGTTTGAGCATTTTCTTCAAAAGAAACCCATTTTGGTGTCAATGGAAAAGTTGTAGAGAATCAAAAATCAAGCTTATATCCAAATTTTCAGAACGATTCAAAAACTGGTTTTCAAGAAATGCCAAATTCACGAATTTTCACAAAACTTGCATTTTAAGCGAAACTACTAAGTGTATCTTTTTGGAAATTTGGATATAAGCCTAATTTTTGATTCTCTACAACTTTTCTATTGACACCAAAATGGGTTTCTTTTAAAGAAAGTGCTTAAACTGGGACATCTCCAGTCCTCCATTTTTGAGTCTCACACACAAACCAAAATCCTACTACGAAATCCGCAAATTGCCTGTAAAATGGGCAGAAGTCGTCAATAATAATGGAAATTATTTGGAATGAATTCATAGTTTTATGTTCAATAAATTTTAGTTCAAAATCTGGCAGCTTTCAATTCACCAACCCAATAGTTGTTAGAATCAATAGATAAATAGCTTCAATCAATTCATTGACCCTGAAGGGTTTTCAATGAATCGATTAAAGTTATTCATCTATTGATTCTAAGAACTAGAACTTGAGTTTAATCGTTGTTAAACTAAGATAATAGCTGTTACCCTGATACAAATTTACAGCGCAATATCTTCTTTTTATGTCATCTATAAAGCAAAAGATTTCCAAGTTAACCAAAAAGCAAGCAAGTAAGGTTTTTGAATAGCTTATCACTCACAAAGAATCCTCCAAGACAACATTTTTTTGAAGTAAACAGACCTGATCTGACCAAACTAACCAGATTGATTAACTTGTAAGATAAATTCAGCCTTTAGCCATCTCTATTTTAAAACATCTTGGATAAATCCATTCTCAAACTCAACTCAATTTTTCTAAAAATGAAAAAAGCTCTATAAAGCTTAGTTTTCAAGTAAAATCAGTCTTAAAATCTTTTTCTTTTCCTGCATATCGACTTTTCTAGAGAAGAGCAAGTACAACAATGGAAAATACCAGTTTACTGATGAGGAAATCGAGCTTTTAGAGATGATGGATGAATATCAAGTAAGTTTTTTGATAAAGTTTATGCTGAATATTTTCTATAATATAATTTTAGGCAGAGGAGATCGGTATTGAACCAGCGTTGAAACCGTTTCTTCTCGAGTTCCAACCGGCTGTTGGCGATGTCGACTCGTTTATCAAAGTACCTAGACCGGATGAGGTGATTCATTTCAATTAGAATATTCAAGATTGGCTAGAGTTTTTAGCTTGAATACTATCTTCATAAAGGTTAAAGATCTAAATTTGATTCCAGGTCGAAGACAACATTGGTCTCACTCAATTAGATGAGCCAGCCATTAAACAATCCGATCCAACCATATTAGATATGCAACTACGACATACTACAAAAGAGGTATAGAGTTTTGAAAGTCAATGATCAATGAAGTCAAATCAATGAACTCAATGAAGTCAATGAACTCTGAACTTTCAATGAACTCATTCCAGTTCTCCTCCAATCAAGATACCCCAGTGAAACGAGTGCATCGAGCTGATCGAAATGTTGAATTGATCGAGAAATGGATTGATGATATAAAGGTTTGAACAATTAGAACAATTGCAAGTTCTGATTTTTGATCTACTTAGAGTCTTTGCTAATCTATTTAGAATAAATCTTGATCATGACTTTTGATTCCTTAGGATCTTCGGCGCTCCAAACCATTTAATATGTGCTTTGGCAAGGACATTCCCGCCAAACGAATAGCCCATTTGCCACAATTCTCGCGTTCTTTACCCAAAATCACTATTTATACATAGCGCACAAATAAGGGAATTTATAAATTAAACAAATTTAAACATCAACCAGTATCACAAATTCCGAATAAAGTAAAACAACGACAACCTGCGCTATAGCTGGATAGAACTATGACATCCTTTATAACGACAAATAATCGAGAAATGGATTGCTGATAGAAATGGATTGCTGATTGTTGAAACAACAAAATTAGAACAATTGCAATTTCTGATTTTTGATCTACTTATAGTCTTTGCTAATTTATTTAGAATAAATCTTGTTCATGATTTTTGATTCTTTAGGATCTTCGACGCTCCAAACCAGCCGCCAGTGTTCACTACACGAAACCATTGCCCGACGTTGAGAAATTAATGCAAGAATGGCCAGCTGATTTTGAGAAAGGATTACCTGGGATACAGGTAAATCAAAGAAAAATTTCACATAAACTAAAATACCTTTTAACTAACTGTAAACTGTAACTTTTAGTTACCCACTGCCGAGCTAGACGTCGATCTGCCGACTTTCGCCGATCTATGTCTCAATCTAGTTGATATTCCTGTTCACAAATCTCGTATTCAATCACTTCATCTTCTTTTTTCGCTTTATTCTGAATTCAAGAATTCACAACATTTTCGCAATTTAGCGCAAAATGCTGAGCCGATGGCTTTCAAAGAGAATACAGATCGGTTAGAGTTGTGAAGAAATTGCTAATGAAATATTCTTTAAACTTACTTCACTCCAACTCTTTGGACTTTTTCTCTAACTTTAAGAGATTAATCTTTTAATTTCAAAGCTTTAACTTTAAATAAACTTCTCCATTTTCACCTTTCACTTGAGTTTCCAGTCAGTACAGTTAAGCTTCTCTATAACGACCTATATAACGATTTAGAAGTTCTAAAAGGTGCCTTAAATTGCTGGGTAGCTGTCCAATTAGTTGTAATCGTTTCCCGCAAAGGGTAGCTACACAGAAAATGTGGGGCACGGTTTTAGAATCGTTACCGTATTTTCTCTAATAGTAGTGCACCCTGGGCGTCGCCTAAATTGCTCGAAATCTTGAGAACCGCTTATCAGAACCTATCGATGTGGGGTCGGAAAATGTAGCTAACGATGAGATCTTGTGGGGGGATATGAGTGTTGAGCTTCTGTGAAAACTTGGAAACTGTAAAATAGTGATCAACTCGGCTTGGCGGGGTCTACTATTAGAGAGAATACGGTATATGAAAAAAGAATCAATACTCTACCGGTGGGATTGAACCTTTGATAAACAGCTCTAGTAAAAGGGAATACCGTATTTTCTCTAATAGTAGTGCACCCAGAGCGTCGCCTAAATTGCTCGAAATCTCGAGAACCACTTATCAGAACCTAGCGATGTAGGGTCGGAAAATGTAGCTGACGATGAGATCTTGTGGGGATTTGAGTGTCGAGCTTTTGTGAAAACTTAGAAACCGTAAAATAATCACCAACTCGGCGGGTTGCACTACTATTAGAGAGAATACGATATTGAGAAATTTTCGGTCCCTTCGATATCGTTCTAGCGAAGTTCAACTGTACTTTGAATCACTTTTTGTCACCTAAACTTTAATTTAGTACTACAAAATGACTATAAAATGATTATAAAATATTATTACTTATAAAATGACTTCTAAACTTTCATGTTTCACCCGTTTCACTCTTGCTTTAGCTGTAAAAAAATGAAATCGGTTAAGTAAATTGTATCCAATTGATGTTCCATTACAGTCTGGATAAAGTAGTGTTCAGTTGATAAGATTAATATTTTTTAAAATCTTTAACAAAAAGTTATTCAGTTTCATTGACTAAATACTTTTTCTTATAATAATAACATGTTTTTACATTATTTTAAGCCTTAGAAGTTTATTTCGAGCCTTGCTAAAGCTAGCTACTGTATTTCTTCGAATAGAAGACCGGGTAAAGAGTATGATCGCGTACTCCTGAGTAGCAGCCCTTTTTAAAATTTCTTTTCTGCATAAAAGCTTTCAATGAAGTGCTATAGAGCTGAAAAAAGGCTCAAAAATACGACATGAGCTCACCGATTTTTGAGCCATTTTCCAGCTCTATAGCACTTCATTGAAAGCTTTTATGCAGAAAAGAAATTTTAAAAAGGGCTGCTACGCACGAGTACGCGATCATACTCTTTACCCGGTCTTCTATTCGAAGAAATACGGTAAGCTATCAAGCTTTTATTTTTACTATAAAACTCGAATATTTTACAACAAATTTGTGATTTTTCAAGTGTTTTTTTGTTATCTAATAATAAATTTGACTTTATTCGTTAAAAATGCAAAAGAAAATCAAAATTTTCATAAAAAAGGCACAAAAGAGTTGAACGAAAACACACCGAGTTGAGAAAAATTGAAAATTTTGATAAATTTTGATTATATTTTGATAAGATTAAGTATTAAAATGGAGAAAAAAAGCCAAAAATACAAAGATCACATTGAAAATTGAATTGAATCAATGGAAACTTGAGGAAAATTTGAGTTTTTTTTTCTTATTGCTAAAGAAATAAAAAAATTGGAATGTCTCAAAAAGACTCATAACAAATTTTTATATTAAATAAAAATAGATATTCAGCTAATGAATCTACAAAAAAATGCCTATTAAAAGAGAAAAACTAACGCTACAGCCTTTTGTGAGCTGTTTAAACTTCGATTTTAAAGGCTTACTTCAAGTTTTTCAATTAAAGTTTTAACTTGTACTGGAATCTTTCAGATTTTCTTTAAAATAATAGTTAGAATTTATAGATTTAAGCCTCAGACACGTAGCTCTCGTCTTCCTCATAGAAATTCCCCCGTTTCACCACCGCTAACGAGTGTGGACCCATTCGCATGTTGTGACGAGCAGCGATCTGAACAAGTTTTATGTAAACGTAGATTACTATTACCACCTAGGGTACATCTTGTACTTGACTACTTAAGCTTCGTACTTGTCTGATCTGTTAAATACGATGATACTATACGATGGCCCAGCTCAAGGATCTTGTACTAGCAGTCGTTTAGACTAGTAGTTATTTTGTTGGGGAAAGGGGTTTTTGGGAGGGTTTTTTGGTTTTTTTTTAAATTAAAAGGGGGGATGGGTTTTTTTTTTTGGTTTTTGGGTTTTTTTGGTGGGGGGGGGTTTTTTGGGGGGTTTTTTTTTTTTGGGTTTTGGGGGGGGGGGGTTGGTTTTTTTAGAAAGGTACTAGATGTAATCTAATGCTAGCACAGTGCATAGGTATACTGCTAACAAGGGTCAGAAATGATCGTGAGATTTCGGCATCAAAATGCAAACACCTATCGAAGCCTCGTGCTTGTCTAATCTGTTAAATACGATGATACTCGTAGTATTAGGTTAGTACCAAATTCTCTTTGTATCAAAAAACTTATGAAAAGTATTTCTTCACTACTATAGTAACCAGTGAAAACTTGCAAGAGAATGATCAGAAGTGACTGTGAGATTTTGACACCAAAATTATTGCATACGGTGAGTACGATGGTGATTTCGGATTTTGTTATGAATCGCTAGTTTTTGAGAAAGACGGCTTTGAAATTTCTACACCGAAGTTCTTGTAAAGAAGCATGCTTCGTTTTCGGGGCTTTAGAAAATTTTTTTTTTTTTTTTTTTTTTGTTAAAAGAGAATTTTTTTTTTTATTTTGTGGTTTACTTTTTTTTCTACTACTAGTCTAAACGGCTGCTAGTACAAGATCCTTGAGCTGGGCCTGGTATCAGATCAATTAGAGTTAGACTTCTATGAGACTAGCTACTGTATTTCTTTTGGCTAAGTTCCACAAATCGAAATCTATTTTCCTCTTTTCACCGACCCTCTCAAAAGCTGTCACATCATCGTGCTTGGTGATGCAGAAAAAGTTGATGAAGAGGAAAGAAACCAGGAAAAGAAAGACTGAAAGTTGAAATTGGTTGAGTATGTAAAAGTTCATCGGTAGTATTTGAATCAAATTTTCACCTGTAAACAAAACGCCGACCACAACGGGTCCCATATAGTCAAGCGTGTCGAAATCCTGCTTGGGCATTCCCTAAATGGCAAAAAGTTGCAAGACTTGATGTAAAAATTGAATATTGAAATTTGAGAGATACTTGAATCAATTGCACAAAGAAAAATCAAATCTTGGATAATTTTATTTGAGCGTGAAATGAGCCGGTTTTTTGTCGTTGACATTAACAAGATTTTGCAAAAAAAATTTACAACCAGAAGAAAATTAGTGACGTTGAAGGAAAGATTAACACGTTGACGACATTGTCACCTGATGCTGTCTGACACATATTCGTTCGCCTGGGACATTGTCACCTAATGCTGTCTGGCACATATTCGTTCGCCTGGGACATTGTCACCTGATGTCAGGTGACAGTATCAATATTTTTGTGCATATTTATGTTTGCTGATGATGGATATTAAATATATATTAAATAAGCAAGTAGGGTAGTATCTATATTCGACTTGGTCCCGGAAAATGTCGATTTAACCGTTGATTATTAAAATTTTAATTTTTTAGGTGACAATTTCAGGTGACATTTTTTGTCGAAAAAAAACAACATTGTCCCATGTGATTGTTTGTGCAAAAACGCCATTATCGTCAACGTGTTAAGAAGTTCTCAAATTTGGAACGATGAGTTTTCATTTTTTCATTTTTAAATATAAACTTCAAAGGAATCAAGTAAATTAATTAAAAAAAAAGAATACGAATAGGTTTGTCTGAAGTACTCAAGTACTCAAAATTTTCCTTTTTCTTTTTCTTTTTGTGAGATGTGAGATGAATGCCAAAACAAGCCTTTCAAAATGCCTAAATCCCTCTATTCGGTCAAGTAAACTAAAAACAATAGCTAATAATATTTTAAGCTTTTTTTTGAAATGATATATAAACATAATAGGTACTAATGAATTGGATCTAGAACTTGTATAAGATTTGTATAAGATTTTTGTTTTTCATCCCGTAGAAAGGAACTAAATTAGGGCTTACAAATGGTTTAGATACAAATAATTAGGCTAATGTGCAAGCTAGAGTAATCACAGTAGGCAATAGATCGTTTAGTGTTGCTTAGGTGACAGTAAACTTGTTGAGAATGTTTAACGAAGATAATTAGCTTACAAAGTACAGCTTACAAAGTACAGCTTACAAAGTACAGCTTACAAAGTACAGCTTACAAAGTACAGCTTACAAAGTACAGCTTACAAAGTACAGCTGAAGTTATAGCTGTAGTCAAAAAGCTTTCTAGAAAAACATAGCTTAAGCTGAATACTACAAAGACTAAACAAGACTCGAATATCCCAATTTTGCACTCAAATTTAGTCAGAAACATGTATTTCTATTGGAAAAGAGAGAAAAATACAGTGCATAGACATACTGCTAACAAGGGAATAGTCAGAAATGATCGTGGGATTTCGGCATCAAAATACAAACACCTAAAGAAGCCTCGTGCTTGTCTAATCTGTTAAATACGATGATACTCGTAGTATTAGGCTAGTACCAGATTCTCTTTGTATCAAAAAACTTATGAAAATTATTTCTTCACTGCTATAGTAACCAGTGAAAACTTGCAAGAGAATGGTCAGAAATGACTGTGAGATTTTGACACCAAAATTATCGAATACGGTGAGTACGATGGTGCTTTATACGAATACGGTGAGTACGATTGCTAAGAGTCGCTAGTTTTTGAGAAAAACGGCTTTGAAATTTAAAATCACAGTAGGCAATAGATCGTTTAGTGTTGCTTAGGTGACAGTAAACTTGTTGAGAATGTTTAACGAAGATAATTAGCTTACAAAGTACATCTGAAGTTAAGTACATTTACAAAGTACATTTACAACTGTAATCAAAAAGCTTTCTAGAAAAACATAGCTAAAGCTGAATACAACAGTTTTCTTTAAACAAGACTCGAATATCCCCATTTTGCACTCAAATTCAATCAAAAACATGTGTTTCTATTGGAAAAGAGAGAAACATACAAATAATTATCAGAAATTCTTTCCGTTTTCATCGTCGAGTGACCAAATGTGGTTTTTTTCTTTGTGAGTATGAGGGAAATAGGAAAATAAGAGAATATAGAGAAAAAAATTTGAGAACTATGAGACAAAGAAAATGCAAGAAATGCCCAATTGAATCGGCCTCTTTCTTCCCGAAAATAACCACAACACTCAAAATATCTAGAAATATTTGCATTTTTGAGTACTAGGTCACCAGATCTAAAGCTTTCACACAGAAATTTGCAGCTTGAAATAGCACAGGAAGCCAGTGTTAAGGCCAAAACTCAGGTTGGAGGCTAAGGTTAACCTGGTTTTAGTCTGTAAAAGGATTTAGGCTAATGGTTCCAATATGATTCCAATATGGTTCGGATACGGTTCCAATATGGTTCCAATATGCTTCCAATTCTTGACCTGATCTGGTTTAGTCTGGCTTTATGAATTGGATAGAATTGGATAGAATTCATGCAGATTTCAAATATAAAACATCATCAGCTAAAGTTTCGCAAAGAATTCTGTTCAAAATTCATACTTGCACTCAACTCTCATTTTTAATTGATAAATGAATAAAGAAAAAGAAAGATGTAAGAAAAGAAAGATGTAAGAATGAATAAAGGAAAAAGAAAGATATAAAGTAGGTGGCAATGAAGACTTGAATCCAAAAATCGAAGGAATTTAGAATAATTTGGAAAAATCATCGATCGATAAAGTCTTCAAAAATTGTCGGGAAATTGTCGGTGCGCAAGTTTTTTCCAAATTTCAGGGGATTGGATCGTTTCAAGGTCATCCCTTTTTCAGAAATCGAGTCGTTTGTGGAAAAGTAGAGAAAAATCGTCGGTCTCTTCGTTTCTCATCAACTATCGCTTTTCAAATGCGCTCTTTCCTAATTGACCCTGACACTTGTTGTTTGGAGTAGAGGGATTTACACAAAACTCTAATTGTTGCATTGCATTGAGAAAATAAAGCCTCTAGAACTGATAACTAAGAGAATTTAAGATGTTATAAAAGAATAAAAGCTTGCCAAAGCTCTAGAACATTCGGTAAGACTGCAGTTTACCCTCGCCACCAGCCAATAACCATTAAAAGTGGTTTTTTTACTGTTTTTTTTGCGCTGACTACGAATATCCACATCTCATCGCCGAATACGGCAATTTTTTGCAAAGAATAAACTTTGATTATTGATTAAATTAGGTGCCGCGCTCAAGATGGTAAATGGCAAATTTTCTAAAAAACGTTCGGAAACACCTCTAACCCTTAGTAGCTTACGTTCTCCCCAAGATTAGCTTAGTAGCTTACGTTCCCCCCAAGATTAGCTTAATAGCTTACGTTCCCCCCAAGATGTAAGAATGGCGCATCACGTGGTTTTCCAGAGCACCCCTGCGATGGGCGAATAAAAAAAAACACTGTGACGCAGGTCACTTCCCCCGCGCACCACGGGCTAGCACGGGCGCCACAGTTCTGCATTCCACGGGTAACGTGTGATGCATGCTTTTTCTATGCTTTTTCTTATAACTATGCTTTTTCTAAGCGTTAGAGGTATTTCCGAAAGTTTTTAGAAAATTTTAATTTTTTTTGCAAAAATTTTACCTTGGGAGACCAAGGCAAAATATTGGAAAAAAATTTTTCGAATTCGGCGATGAGATGTAGATATTCGTAACCAGCGCAAAAAAAACTGAGTCAGAAAAACGACTTTTGGTGGTCATCCGGGAGGTAAACTGTAGTCTAGCCGTAGATTCTTTCTAGTGCGCTTTTAAAACAGTAATTGGTCCTCAAAACACTTATAATGTAGGAGAGAAGTAAAGTCTCTAGTTGGATATACTTTTTGCTTAAATAAACACATTCAATCTGGCGCACTCAGTTCTGTTTTAATAATGTTTTACTTGAGTGAAAAGGCTAGAAACAAATGAATTAGAAAGGTTGTAGTTGAAGCTTAAGATTAGACTAACAAGCTCTTCAATAAAAATTACAAATTCAAAAGAAATTTGATCTTTTTTATGCAATAAAATTAGTATAGTAAAAAGAGAAAGCTCATGGCTAAAGAAAAATAAAAACTTCGAAAAAATGGGATTATTTCGAGCCGGATGAGGGGCAATTAGAGACGGGCACTCGCTAGACAGAAAAAGAACAAGGAGAAGAAAATGTGAAATGAAAAAAGGAGGGAAAGGTATGGCCTTTTATGAGAAAAGATCTCTGATTGGTGAGAAGTGAATTAACGAAGTTCATGTGAAATTGCTGGAAATGTTGATTAGGATCACAGCGTCAAGGTCGCGTTTTTTGAGAGATCTCAATGTAAACCTCAAGTTTCATATTTAGTCTAAAATTAACTCTTGGCTCGAGTTTGAGCTTAGTGATTTGTGTCTTCACTTATTCTAATACTTGCTTGGTTTGGTCAAAAATCAGAGTTGGATCAGATTTTGTAGATTCTTGCGGCACTTTAGATCAAAACTAACTTGAATTTCTAGCATAAAGCATATGGCCTCATCTGGCTTGATCATTTGTTTTTGAGTCAATTTTTGCACATCTTGATGAGTATTAAAAATTGCTATTGCAGCAATGAACTGCTCTTTATCCTCCAAGACTCCAGAAGCAACAAAAAGACAAGAATTAGATCTAAGATTTGAGCCCTTTAAGATAAAAAGTAAGTAGGAAAGATATTAAATTTTCTTTTAATTAATTGCTCTTTTTTTCAGTTCAAAATAAGATCAAATTGGTTGACTAAGGGAATTGGACTCAAATGGAATTAATAATTATATATATGTTACATCCGAATCTGAGGACACGTCCATCTCCGATCCGGACGTCCGAATCTGAGGAGATTCATTCTCCTCTGAAACGGACGTCCGACTCAGAGTCGGACGTCCATCTCTGAGTCGGACGTCCGTTTCGGAGGAGAATGATCATTCTTCTCGGAATCGAACGTCCTATCTTGAGAACAAATAGTTTAAATGCAAAATCCAATGTTTTGAACAAAACAAATGAAATATTGATGCAAACAAATTACAGGTTTCCTTCAAGATAGATTCAGAATTTTCTATGAAATTTGAATTTCCAAAC